TTACACACGTACACACACATATATATATATATATATATATTGAAATAATTTTTGTTTACACAACATTAATTGTAATAACGTTTGTAGTTAAGAAATACTAATTAATTAATAATTAGGTGTTGTTAACAAGTGTTTTTTTTGGGGGGGGGTTAACCATGTTATTAAATAAAGTAAATATTAAATAATATTCTATATTTTAATATAGTAATTATTTTTAGTTTTTTTTTTCTTTATCTATGATATTTAAAGGACATTCGTTAGTGTAGTATTTTACTAATTTTGATCTAGTTAGTTGATAATATGATGAATTAATTATGTATTTTTATGAGATGAATTAATTACTTACGGTTAGATAGGTGAGTTTGTGAAGGCAAAGACCATTTATGAAGGGAAGTAGCCGATGACAAATTCAGTTAGCTTCAACCTAACACAATAAATAGAATGAATTTTTTGATAAATAAAAATCTTGTAACTCCACATGTTTCACCAATTATTTAAATTTTTATTAGGGACCATCCACAACGGTGTGTACAATGAGGTGACTGTACGAACAAATGGTTATCACTAACTATATAGAGTTATTGAGTCAATTCTTCCCTTTTCTTCTTCAATGTGAATAAATGTTCAATTAGATATTAGATGTAAAAGAGGAGAAGGTGATAAAGCGAACTTTATTTTTTTATTTTGTATTTTTTAGATCTAAGACTTCACCATTAACTTGTAATGACCCCACAACGTGCTTCAACGTGGTGGACTTTATGAGCCAATATTATTTTATTTGGCATTTTACCGGAAAAGAAAATTGTATGCTTTCAGAATTTTGAACTTCAATCAAAATGACCATTTTGTTCACTTAGACTTCCATACAAGAAACGACCAAGAATACAAATGTACTAATCTTTCTAAATTTTGAAAAAATTTCAAATATAAATTAAAAAATATTGAATTATGAGAGGTGTACAATAAACTACATAGAATTTGCAAAATAAAAATATTTAAAATTGTAAAAATAAATGCATAATTAGGTTAAAAGAACTTGAATTTAATTAATTTATTGAAAATAAGTTTAAAATAATACGTCTCATTCTTTAAAAATATATTGTAACTATATATTGGAAGATAGATACTATCAGTTTTTCATTAATTGTAATATATTATTTGTTTTTTCATTTATTATAATAAAATCAATATCGTCAATTTTATATTTATTGACATCAATTTGATGAATTTATAAACAGATAGCTAACCTAATTAAGTAAATAATACATAACTCTTTAAAGGAAGAAAATGAATATTTACTTTGTTTAATTAATTGATATAAGATCATAAATATTTCTTAACACGTTTTGTTAGCACTTTTTTTATTAAAAAAAAAAAAAAAAACTGACGTAGTTTGTTTACCTATTTCTAACATTCTTTTAAATATGATAAGTGTGACCATATATGATAATATAATTTTTCATGTTGAAAATTGATTTCAATAAAATGATTTACACATACGTATGTATGTACGTATATGCAACCGAAACAAATAGAACTCAATTATTGAATGGACGACAAATGGATCAAGGTAAGATATAATGCCAAATAGTGGGACCCGAATTAATTCATTATTTATAAGTGCATTTATCACCATTATTATGTTTTCTTTCCATGCTTGTTTATTTTTAATGGTTTAATTTGTTTGAAGTTGTTATACCGGCGCAGTAGAATATGTTCACAGTTGATAGAACATAGATAATTTAAAAAGGAAAGAGAAAGTAAAAGGATAAGCTAGAAATTATAAAAGGGTATGTTAGTACTTGATGTTGAAGAGTGTAAGGTAGGTAAACATGTATCAAATGATGCAAGGTGACACCGTGTAAAAATTATTGCTGCATATAAAGAATTATATTATATGGTTAAATAATTGAGAAGTGAGAGAGAGAGAGAGAGAAGATCGAAAGTTTAGGGTTGTAAAGTTATATATATTTTTTTGTGATTTATATATAATACATGTTCTCACTCCTATTGTGTTTCTTGTATTCTTTGAATATTTTTTTAAAAATAAAATAAAATAAAATGATTAAAATAGATGACTACTCCAAATTTTGGATCATTTACAACATTCATTCATATCATATTTCTCATATTACAATGAACAGTAGACATTCAAAATAATATCGTTACATCCAAAGGACTAGGTTTGTTAGTGGTATCACTATCCAATTCGTCAATGTCAATTATCCTTAATGATCTTGTGACTATCTCGTTCAATTTTATGCTAAAAGATCATCCACTATAATAATTTATATATATATATATATATATATATATAGCTTATTTTCTTGTGAAATAAATAAAAAATAAGTAGGTTTGTAAAAAAAAAATATGCCTTTTTTTGGTTCTAAAATAATTATGATAAAAATATTAGTAATAATGACTTATAATAAAAATGTATGTATAATTAATAAACTTGTGTTTTCTTTAACTCAATATACTTTAGTATTATAAGATGATTAATTTAAGTAATCTCTTATAAGTTATAACACTATTTTTTTTTATTTATAAATAATTATAGTTGTTAATTAAAATAGGATGTTACAAATTCAGTGCGAGAATTACTTTGAAAGTCTTGTTGGCACTACAAGGTTGCTAAGTGGATGAATAACCACGTCTCATGTTGGTTTCAATTTAAATCGATTAAGTTGAATGCTTTGCTCATATTACATAATTAATATTGAAATATATTATCAGCGAAAATCATGTTTCACATGAACAAATTAATCAGAAAAAAGAAGAAGAAGAGAGTATCTAATTACTGTTGGAATTTATTGTTTTGTACGTTTAAAATGATTATGTGCGTGATTAATTAGATTAATTATTAAGAAATTATTTAAATCAAGTTGGGTTGGCAAGTTGTGGCCGAAAGTAAACAAACGCATTATGTTTAGGTAGATGATAAGCACACCTCCACTCTCGTATAAATACACCTCCTTTTTAAAAAATATATATAAAAAAGTCTAAATTACCCTTAAAAAAATGAAATTTCTAAATTTACACCCTCCTTCCCCACATTTTCGTTTACCGCACCCCCTTCTCCGCACCCCACACCCCCTTCCTCGCACCCCCACACCCCACACCTCCCTTCTTCTTATAACTTTTTTCCGCTTAATGTCATGAAGTAACTTTCAATCTAGCTCCTAACTGATTAAAACCTTCTAGTTAGTTTCTAATTCGATTCAATTTAAAAACAAAGGACCTGGATCATATTTGCTAATATCAATGCTTTTCTCACATATCACTATGAAATCAATTTTTTTCTTAATAAAAGTGAAACTTTCTGGTTTATAATGTGAATCAACGGTAACATTAAAGGAGAAAATATAATATGAGTGACCAGAAATCAGAATGGGAGAGTCCGGGAGCAGCAACGATGAGAACGGGCTCATTCTATTTATTGGGAAGTGTGATAGAGTGAGTCAAGGGAGTTGACTCGGTCGACATCTTGCAGCAGAAACCTTTTCTCTTCGAAACCCAATCGGAGGCATGAAGCGGAGTGAACCTTCTCAGCGCACCACATACAGTGCGAACATTTATGGCCATTGAAGCATATTCAGAAAGAAAAAAAAGGCTTGGTTGCGGGAACCGACGGTGACGAAGGTAACCGGGCCGATGCGGCCAGTTACCGGGGAGGGTGTGAGGTGAGGTGAGGGGAAGGGGGGTGCGGGGAAGGAGAGTGCGGGGAAGGAGGTGTAAATTTAAAAATTTCATTTTTTTAAGGTTAATTCAGACTTTTTATATATTTTTTTTAAAAAAGGGGGTGTATTTATACGAGAGTGGAGGTGTGTTTAACATCTACCTTATGTTTATTTTTCCTCTTAGTTCCCTCTTTCTCTATGGGCTAACAGCCAACCTCTAAAACTTATTCTCTCCTTCGCGTGACTTGTTGTCCTTTTCTTTATCCAACAGGGATTTTTTTTATGACTTTGCGGGCCACTTAATTTTTGTAACAGTAGTTCTATTATAGGATAAATTATATTTTTGTTTCATTACTTTTAAATGGTTAAATTTGTTTATTGAATATTTTTTGAAATCATAAAATTAAATTAAATCATTTAAAAATAGTAAAACCAAATTAAATATTTTAAAAATGGAAGAACCAAATTGAATAATAATTTATCTAATTTTTTTAACATAAATTTAAATTTTCTTTTACCTGTTTAATTTAGAAATATTTTTATTATAAAAAAGACTTATTTTAATACTACACATAAGTATGTATACCCCTCCACTCTATTTTTATTCGAACCCCTAACTTTGCTTAAACGTGGATGAACCCCTCTTTGGCTGAACCACACGCTTGAAGTTTTCATTTTCCTAAAATACTCTCCTTTTATTTTACTCACAGTCACACTCCTTCCCTAGCCCTTTGTATCATGGTGATGTTGAACGGGGGATGATCAAGAATCGACCAGACCCACTGACTTGGCCTAACTCAAAGAAGATTAAACTAATACAAGTTTTAAAATTAGATTTGATGCTCTTTTTTTTTTTTTTTTTTTTAAATGGGTTAAGGTTATCTTTCCAATCATTTTAACCTTATTTGATGTCCTACATTCTTTAAAAAAATGAATAATTATATATTAATAACAAAACTATTTTATTTAATAGATAATATTTTTGTATAATATAATATTATTTTTAAAATGTATATCATAAAATATACCTTAACTTAATTTTATACTTTTTTATTTTATAATTTAATTATATATTATGTTAATATTGGTATATTATATTAAAACATCGGAGATTCAAATTAAAAAATATATATATTCGATCAAAATTTTAGACCAGATTGGATCAAACATAAACGTAGCTTAACAATTCTGCAGCTCCCCCTTTCATGTCAACCTCCCTCTAACTTTTGTTATTGTTATATTTATATTAGCAGGAATACAAGTACATTCAACTATA